TTTGAGTTGAGTAAACTATTACCCATCGACAAAAGAGATAATCTCTCAACTCATGACAATTCATCTGTTTCGACAATAGAAGATAGGGAACATTGACAGTTGAACAGGCATAAGGCCATTTTTGCTCATGGTGATATTAAAAAACCATTGACTTACACGCATAATCCGACAGTATATTATATTCTCTCTTTTTCTCTTTTTGCTTTTGCTTTTTATCTAAAAGTACAATGATTAAAACTCTTGTATTCTATGCTTTTTTGTCCACTTCATAATATCAATTGAACACATGCCTATAACATTAACCACAAAAATATAATATTGGAAGGAAACAAAATTGGCTATAATGGAAAGAGAGAGATTGCCTAATTCCTGGAATGGGATTTGAACTACTTTCCATTTTATAACTTGGACAAATATATTTGCAATTGATTTTTTTGTTTTACACGTTTTTCCAATGGCTGGTACCGTCGTGTTCCTTGCGCATCATGGGGATACCTAATAAATTGATTTGCTTTGGGGTACAACCCCTAGAATATCTTTCGGTGCACCAACAGCTATGCAAGGTTTCCACGTTTTCCATTTGTATTCAAAGTGGATACTGTACTTCAGATTGTTCTGGGGGTTCTCCATATTGGAGAATGTTCAACTGGCAAGAAAAATAAATAAATAAATGCCCATTTTAAGATATAACGTTTATCAAGATTTAATTCATTTAAGGGAAATTCATTTATAATGAGTTAATGATTAACTAATACATGCAACACTAAATCGTTAAGAGTTAACCTCACTTTTGCAGCCTTTAATCTTAAGCTTTAATTTTTGTCGAGTTATAGGTTAATTAAAATTTTAAATTTTATTTGATCAGGATTCTTGTTTGTATATAACATTGAGTAATTGTATGTTTTAAACTTCTTGTTTCACATTGAGTTTAAAATTGAATAAATAATGAGTAGTGCTTGAGAACTCTAAAAAAGGAATATTTTGTAATTCTTTCTTTTGTTTTAGGTGAAACTAGGGACGGATCCCTTCAAAAGTTTTGAAATTTTTTATATATTATATATTTTTAATGATTTTTAAAATAATTTTTTATTAAATAATTAATATAATTAAAAATAATAATAAAA